CATTGATCTTATAAAAGAAAGTTACAAGCAGCCAAACAAAAAAAATGCCAGATGTGTTGAATGGCTTTTGCTTATTATTTTCTTTATTTATCACTTCATTTTGAGACTGGATGTTAGGGCCCTTTGTTAGTACCATATAATTAACTTCCCACCTGGTTTGTGGGAAGTCATAATTATAAGGTGCTAACAAAGGACCATAACAGGCACTGAGTAGCATACCAAACAGTTCAACTCCAAAATGAAATTTAAATTCGTTTAACAAAAAGGACGTAGAGCTTTCCTGTAGATATAGCAATATCAAAACTAGCTCATACAGTAGAACCAATACAACTTGCAGATTTTCTCATAAAAATAACAATTGTGTGATTTCGATCATAATAAATGTGTCAAACCACTACGTACCTTGGCAGATGTAACAATTTTTCCTCCGACTTCCACACTCCCGACATCTCTAACCCAACCACACACAAACTGATTATAAGCTTCCAGTCCTTTATAACATTTCAATTGCTCTTGGGAATAATAGCTCGTAGTAAAAAGTAAATAGTTCACAATGTCCATGTATGTAACTTCTGGAAGGAGCCCGGCATCTGTTGACCATGTGGTAGTTTCATATGGGTCTTTACCGTCTATAATGCCCAACTTGTCCTCATACCTCTTCCTTTCTGGTGCAGGTAGACTTAACTTATAACTGTGAAAGTTGTTTTCCTGATTTGAAACGGCGTTTGTCTTCGTATCTTTCACCCTAACTCTCCTCATGTTAATCGTGCTCGACGCCATTTTCCGGTCTACCAATATGGCGCGAGCCCAAAACGAGGCCGCCTAGAGAGATCGCTCTATATGAATAAAGGGTTAAGTCCTTTATATCATTAATGTAATGGGCAGGATATTGAAATAACTAAGGTAACCAATCAGAATGTGATTGTGTGTTACGTCATCAAACAATGAAACGGAGGTGACGATTGGCCATCCCCCTAACTAAACGTAAGTGTCCCAGCGAGGCACCCACTCCCTACTGCCTACGGACGTTAAGAGACAACTACGAGGAACGTCGGATATTTGTTTTAACAGTTTTAAAAGTGCCAAAACAGTGGAAGAGACACCCGACACACCACAGAAGTAAATCTTTTGGTAAGTGTACCTACATTGTAGTTACTTATCTATTAATATTGTTTGATTAACGTAGCAAAATGACGCCAAATGTTTTGATAGTGGAGCACTTTCATTTCAAAACAAAAATTAATATGAGCTTCATTAAAAAATATATATATGTGTGTGTGTTTCTGTGTCTGTATGTAAGTCCATGTTACTCCTTCCCACCCTCAGTAATTGAGTACACGCACAACAAACGTTGCCCCGTGAGGAGACGTAACTCCCATTCACGTAGCTCGCCACTCCTATTAAAGTCATATAATGTTTTTCTAATCATCAAATTACAGCTTTAGAAATGTCGTCTGCAGATGACGAGACTTTTAAGCGACTTTCCACGAAGGCGAATTTGACATTCCCGTGACTGGGTTCCCATCCCTAGACCGATCTAACAGGATCGGTCCATCTCCGAGGCTTTTCTCGCTAAATTGCTTTCAGATTAAGCGGCTTAGGTGTCTGGCACGCCTATTGAAGCTTCTAAACGATAACGAATTGCCCCATAACAGCATCAGTAGATGTGACCTACATATAAGCCTCTTAAGTTGATTGCACTTAGGCAATAATCCGCCCGGAGAAAAATTGATCTACAGTCTGTACGATACGGTCTGGGAATGGTCCCTATGTTTACTGTTTTAGTCAACATACCGCACGACTGAGTCTTTTGAAAATGTTGCTGGAGACAAATACCGTAGTTTTATATAACTTCAAATGTTTGGTTGAAAGGGGTTAAAAAGAATAGGGCGGAAGGTAGAGAGAGCTCATACAAAATTAACACAATTGGATTGAATATATCTGTCTTATATTAGTAAACTGCTGGGTTGGTTTCGGTCACTAGGCTTTACAAACGATACCCTCAATCTCCATTCCGACATGCACGTAATGTCTATGAAAAGAAAAATTAAGTAAATTTAAAGACATTGAGGCTGCGCACCCCAAGTATCTTATAGCTAGGCTTCTTTCGGTTAAAAGGGTACCTGACTTCAGATTTTGTTAATTATTTATTGCATGTCATTTCTATCGGAGGGAAGCGTGTCATGTGTCATGACGACCAACTCAGTTGTCCTTTTGAGGTAAATACAAACATATTTTGTTACATGCGATAATCGATTTAGGATTCTGTCATGTCAGCTTCACCTCCCACTACGAGCAGCGTGGCCTGAAAGTATCTGGGCCAAATTCAAGCACAGCAGTACATTTAAGAGAAACGGTAAAACATTATTTTTCTTATAAACCATGTCCATGTCCATGTATACCCGTTTTCCTTTGACATAAAATCTAACAATGAATTAATTAATACCGTCAGGGTGTTTATTATAGGAATTAAGATAGCATTTATTGTAGGTCTGTCGATATTACGATAGATTCTTGTTCTCACCGATTATATTCAATTGGGGTGCGAAAAAGGGGCCCACAAGTTCTGAAAGTTTTTTTTTTTTTTTTGATTTTTTTTTTTTTTGGTTTTTGTATAAATAGCATAGAGAGAACCTGAGTTTATTTNGGAGAGACTATTAAAAGATTAGGCGGTTTTTCTTTCATGTACGTCCGCCATATTTAGTCCCAGGATTTGTAAAGCCTGGCTCAACTCGTTGTGAATGCGATCTTATATTAGTAAGTCGCTGGGTTCGTTTCGGTCGATAGGCTTTACAAACGATACCCTCACTCTCCATTCCGACATGTACGTAATGTCCCGTGCCTGTGAAAAGAAAAATTAAGATAATTTAAAGACATTAAGGCTGCGCACCACTAGTATCTTATAGCTAGGCTTCTTTCGGTTAAAAGGGTACCTGACTTCAGATTTTGTTAATTATTTATTGCATGTCATTTCTATCGGAGGGAAGCGTGTCATGTGTCATGACGACCAAGTCAGTTGTCCTTTTGAGGTAAAAAACAAACATATTTTGTTACATGCGATAATCGATTTAGGACTCTGTCATGTCAGCTTCACCTCCCACTACGAGCAGCGTGACCTGAAAGTATCTGGGCCAAATTCCAGCACAGCAGTACATTTAAGAGAAACGGTAACACATTATTTTTCTTATAAACCATGTCCATGTATACCCGTTTTCCTCTGACATAAAATCTTACAATGAATTAATTAATACCGCCAGGGTGTTTATCATAGGAATTAAGATATCATTTATTGTAGGTCTGTCGATATTACGATAGATTCTTGTTCTCACCGATTATATTCAATTGGGGTGCGAATAGGGGCCCACACTTTCTGAAAGTCATTTTTTTTTTGTATAAATAGCATAGAGAGGAACCGAGTTTATTTTACATGCCGTTTGTTCGTAATTCTAGTTCAAATATAATAATCAAATTATATCGAACCGCCAGATGTTGTTTGTCTGCTCTTGTTTTCGTCCGTTCAAAAGAATTAAATAAATAACTTGTATTTCACCTTCACTGCGAGTTAGAATAAATAATGATGTGCGTTTCCACGGCTTGAAATAGAATGTGCAAATGTATTCAGTCTTTATAACATCACATGACTATGATCACTAACCTAAGTCTGTGTTAAGGTAAGGACAGGTACACCAAAAGCGGATTGTTTACTCAACCTTTGATGTATAAATACATTATTTACGTCACTACGTTAGTCATCAGTCAGGTAGATTCTGTAGCAGGCCAGCGACAGCTTCTCTACATGTGGTTACTCAAAATTAATATTTCAGTGCCATTCTTCGGTAAGTTTTTTCCCTACAATTCTATCCGTATTTATTTTGCTGTTTTACATTCAGTTATTCAGGAAAAGAAGTCTAAACATGGGAGAGAGAAAAGGAGGAAGTGAGGAGCCGCCTGACACTAGCATCAATGATTTTGACGACATTCTTGTGCTTATTGGAGAATTTGGGACATACCAAAAGTTATTGTTTGTGTTTCTTACGATAGCTTCTATGTTACAAAGCATGGGGTATGCCGCTGTAGTCTTTATAGAACTCACCCCCAGTTTCAGGTACAGTAAGGTCCGTTTCTAACATGATACCTATGCGATTGAATATTAATACTATGAAGGCAATTAGGACAGCGGACCAACAGATCCGCGGATCAAATATGGCCACCAACTTAAAAAATTGCCTCTAAATTCCCGATTAGATACTAGATAGATTCCCCGCGGGAATTACGAAACAAGCATTCAAGTGGGTCGGCCATATTTGATCCTCGGATCTGTTAGTCCGCTGTTCTGAGTGCGCCCTTTATGAGAAATATGTACAATTCTGATTTCAGAACTAACACCAGCAGCTAGTTGACTGTCAGAGCTTTACATATTCCTCAATCTAATTATGTCGGGTGACTGAAGTATTCACTTATTAAAACCGTAAACATGCATTATTGTCTTCATTTCTTCTCCAAGTACATAAATAGAATTTTCAGATTGTTTAATGACCGAACTGACTTCAAGTAAATCAAAAATATACTATAATTGACACAGTAACGAATATTAAAAATAGAACTGAAGAGAATACTATTTATGTTGAACAGATAATTTTGATTTTACTTTAAAGGGAAGGGTTGCATGATTCCTCCAAAGTATAAATATACAACATATATTTTCCAGATGCAAGTTACCGAGTCTTCCAAATGACACATTCAAAAGTGAGGGGGAATGGCACAAACATATTGTCGACGTTTCGTTAATGAATGTGACTGATGGGAAATGCACCGTTCCTCAAAATACCAGTCCCTTTGGGGATGCCTTTCAAAACGAGACGAAACCGGAGAAATGTACAGAATGGGTGTTTGATACCACCGATGTTACATATTCCTATCCTATGCAGGTACTAGTAGATATCAATTATATTTATTTATTTACTTTTTGTATAGTTTCTGCTTGGTTGCATATCATAAGTGGAGATAAACATAAAATTCCGAAATATCTAAATAATCATTTATTTTTGCAATTGTTTACGAATTAAGTTTATTATTAAGATGAATTTGAATAATTGCTCAACCAAGGTTTTTCAATTTCCTTGTTCCTTTACTGATATTAGAGAAATGCGTCCCTATAACAGTTGTTAAGTGACGCCAGGCCCTGGTTTCACCCCCCCCCCCCCCCAAAAAAAAAAAAATAATAATAATAATAAATAAGTCAGGTTCCCTGGCTAAGAACTTAATTGCCAAGGTTACATGGTCACATAGCTGCATCTTACCCTATCAGGAGCAGTGTAACAGCACTCCCGTGGAAATCCTAATCAAACTAAGCCAGGGAACTGACTTAATTTTTTTTTTTTAAATCTGAGACCAGTAATGATATGTGCATGAATACATGTCCAAGTTGTGCAAAAGCTTTTTACAACACACGGCCTTTTGTTTCTTTTTAGTTCAGTCTAGTTTGTGACCATTCCTCAAAATTGACCAATTCCTATATTACAAACGTGCTAGGAACTTTGGTAGGTGGACCGTTGTATGGCGTAATAGCCGACGTGTGAGTATGTTGTTTGTTTTCTTTATCTTGGTTTAAAACGTTTTAAATGTCGGATGTGACATGTGGTGTGTAAAACCATGCGTATAAGTTGAAAAAAAATGACATGCTAAACCCTTGACTACTTATTGTGGGTCGAATAGATGAGTAAAGGCCCCTTTACACTGGTTCCCTTCTGCTTCTGCGATCAAAAATGTGGCCAGGACGCTCAACGGCCGCCAAAGCAATTCAATCGTGTCTCAGTGTAAAGGCATCTGCGTTCCTTGTGCGTCCTACAAACGACTGAATCTTGATTTTACCTGTTAAACTGCGAGCGACCTGTGCGTCCTCTGAGCGACCTGTGTCTCCGCTGAGCGACCGGTCTGCCTCCCCTGTGCCTCCCCTGTGCAACCCACGGCATCCATTGCGATGTTTGAGCGACCCTGGAGCATCCTCGTTGCGTTCTCTGTACCTTCATCGGCGATCAGTGGCGACCACTCTACGATCTTTCTGCCTCCTGCTAAACGGATGAGCGTTGTTTGGTAGTCCTTCGATATATTCTGACTCCTTTATATATCTTTTTCATCAGTTCTAACCCGGTCATCCAATTAAAAACATTTAAAAAACGCTTGCACACGTGCGCAAGTGTCTCGATTCCATGGCCCCGTATCTCGAAATAGAATCGGTTATGGAATCGAGACACTTGCGCACGTGTGCAACATAGCGAACCTTTCGAGATACGGAGCCCTGGCCAGTTTTATGGTCGCACAAAAGACGCAGAAAGGACGCCGTCCAGTGTAAAGGGGGTTTAAGGGGAAGTTAGCAATGAACACTGTAATTAGTGATGTAATTGTAAATGTCTAGAAGCTATAGTTTCTAAAGTAGTAATTTCATGAAACAGCGCCATAGGCAAATACAGATTTCAAAATAATTACCTATTCCAACCACATGTTACATAAAATGACACTTAATTTCAGAGCTGGCCGAAAGGTGGCACTACTGCTAGGGCTGTTCCTGAGTGGTGTGTCGGGAATAGCCTGGGCGTTTTCTCCAACGTATGACTGGAGCGTCGCCTTCAGGTTCCTGTATGGATTAGGGATTAGCGCACTGTACGGGTTGTCCAGCACATTAGGTAGGGTTTGTCTTAAATTGTTCATATAAGAAGAACGAATATAAATACACAGTATAAATTAAACACAGTTATTGGTCCTAACGTTCAAACCACGATTCTTGTCTAGTGTGATTTAAGACATTTCAGTAGCATCTCAAGTATTAGCAAAAAAAAAAAAAAAAAAAAAAAAAAAAAAAAAAAAAAAAAAACGTGTAAAGCAATACACCATGTTACAGTTCTAGACCAACTCATTTATTTATTAATCGTCATTATTATAATTATTTGGGTTTACATGATTATCTCTTCTGAATAGCTTAATATTATTTGATATTCTTAATATAATCACTTTCAGCATTAGAGATGGTGGGGCCAAACAGACGCATGGGGGTGGGGACAGGATTGGCATTTGCGTATTCGGCGGGTGCGACAGCTACTGTGGGAATAGCCTACTTCCTACGAGACTGGCGCCATCTACAGTTGGCAATGTCTGCGCCATGTTTACTGTCGGCAGTAATAATGTTTTGGTAAATATTGGGCGGAAAATTGAAGAAGGCATTTTCAGAGAGAGTTTAACCTTTATATGAACGTTAAATCCTGGATTTTTCATCAATTTAACTTTTTATAGCCTAGATATACCTGTATATTCGATTAGAACCAAAACCGCTGATGAATGAACCCGTACTAACACCAAATAAATGTGCTAGTCAATATATCTCCATCATGGGAGTGACAAAAGCTTATGAAAGGGGTCCATGGATCGTGAGTAAATCTGTAAACAGTTTTGATATACCTTGATGATTTGGGAGAAAGTGCTGAAATTTTCAAGAATTTCAAATTACGCTTATTGCATGCATTTTAAAGGTTATAAATCTGGATAAATACTGTTTATAACTCCTTTCGTTGCAATGCAGTCAGAACTGAGAGTACGCAATTTCAAGTAGGCCTATATGCAATTTCAAAACAAACTGTTGTTACATAATAGGTTTGTACAGAGAGGAGCATTAATGCAGTAGATTAGCAGCATGATAGAAGCATGTTTCAAATATGCTAATTAGCTCCCCAATCGAAGCAGATTTGAAGCATGTTTGCAGTATGATTGCAGTAGTCTACTGCGCTGGAATATCTACTGCGTTTTCTTGCGGGAATGTTCTGCAATGAAAGAGGACGATCTAATTGTAAGAAAGAAAGTTCCGCGATTATTGGAATTAATTCATAACTTTGAACTGTAAAAATATATCAGAAATGACACAGTTCTCTTAAAAAGTCACTCGATTAATTAGTATTGTACCAGTACAATTGTCAACGTCCAATTACTATTTACTGCCTGATTGGTTTTTGTATCTGTCCATTTCGTATTTCATAGGTGCCTTCCGGAATCTCCGAGGTGGCTGCTCACCAGGGGTCGCCATAAATTAGCACATAAAATTCTAAAACGTACCGCTAGGATAAACGGGACTCTCCTCCCTGAGGACCTTATAGGGAAGGTTGAAATAAACGAGCCCCCGACCGCCAGTGCTCGAGCCTTGCTTCGTGCACCCAAACTGATGTTAAAAATGCTCCTGCTTTATGTGAATTGGTACGTAGGATCCTGTGAAGCACATCAAGGGAGAGACAGATAAAATAACAGCGAAATCTAAATAATTAAATGGGTGCACTGTGTGTGTGTGTGAGAGAGAGAGAGAGAAAGAGAGAGAGAGAGAGAGAGAGAGAGAGAGAGAGAGAGGGGGCGGAGAGGGAGAGAGGGGACAGAGAGAAATGATACACATTCAGACAAAGAAAGGACGGACGACGTCAATATGTTTATAATCCGTCATACTGTATTAAGGTTTTGCAATTTTTATAAAATTTCCTTTTTTGGAAAATAAAGACTTAGCGCTCTATTTTACATCAACATTTGTTTATTTGTTTTACAACAATGAACCTGTACTAGTAAATTATTTATGCGCAACATTTACTTCGACATTTTTGTCATTATCAGGTTTGTTGCAGATATGACATATTTTGGGTTAAATCTTCACGCCGGGAACATGGCCGGGGACATCTACTTCAACTTTCTACTCTTAACTCTCATAGAGTACCCAGCAAACGCAGTCTGTTTCACCATCGACAGATTCGGAAGGAAGAAGCCCTTTATTCTGTTCATTATTGCAGGTGCTCTAGCTTGTCTTGCGCCTCTCTTGGTGCAAGAGTATGCAGATAAAGGTGAGGTTAATTTTCTATTGGCGGACGCCAAGGGACGCACATGGGACTTAGTTTTGGGGAGAACCTCCTTCTGACACCCCTCCCCCCCCCCCCCCCCCCCCCCCCCCCACCCCCCCCACCCC